TTCTGTGAAAGAGCTCAGAGTAGCTTACGTATTATTCTCAAGTTGTCTCCTGGGCAGGAGGTTACATGGTTGTACATGCTTACATGCACAGTTACTGCACCATGCACCACTCACCAGCATTCTGTTGTCCTCAACCACCTGGGCATCCCCATATGATTTGGCTTTCAGGTAACAACTATGTTGTTTGGATAACTTTCTAAAAAGTTGTGTATGATGGCCCCTGTGAAGTATACAGGTTTACTGTATTTTCCAGTCAAATGTTTACTCCATGCATCAATGCAGAAGTATAGACTAGCATCACAGATCCACCTATAATATATATATGAGGAGAAACAATGACTTCTGAGAGTCCCTTGCTCATTTTGCCTTTTTTCAAGAAAGTAAAAAAGCTAAGCAATCTTTTAAAAATGTGGAAGTAGTACTAAAAATCATAAATTACTTTTAAAACATTTATTTGATAATTTGCTCCTTTCATGGTTTTTTTAATGTATTTTCCTTCTCTATAATATACAGAAGCAGCTAACAGCCATTATGAAATAAAGGTGTATGTCCAGGGGTGGCCAGATGAGACATTTTGTCTCTGGTGGTGGGTGCGGGTAGGGCAGTGGGTCAGGGCTGCCCTACATTCTTGCCACTCACCTCACTGAGATGACTGTTGCTGCCTCTGCTTTACTTGCCAATGTTGTTTTAGCATCCCTCCATCTGAGACCTCTATGCCACCACTATGTCTTCTTCACCCACACCCATCCCCACCACTAAGTCCTCCCAGCCCTGGCTTCTCACTATCTGCTTGCCATGCTGGAAAGCCTCTGGCAATTGCTGTCACTTGAGCTCTCCTTGAGGACGGGAAAGAGGGGTTCCAACCACCCAAACTACACCCCAGCTGGAAATGTAGTTCACTTTTAAAAAAATTATTAAAATGCAATAGCTGCTTCAATCCAAGGGGATTACCATAGCCAGGCTCCACGACTTCAGCACCATTCCTTGATCCTTTGCAGGCAGTTGGGAAGGGAAGTGGCAGAGGAAGAGGCAGAGTGAGCAGGAGTTGGCTCTTTACACTTTTTCTTGCTCAGTTTCTTTGCTTTGGTGCCGCCAGGCAGAAAGAAAGAAATCACTACAATATGTCCAGCTCAGGAAGTAATCTTTATCTACAGTGGGAGCTTCTGCCAAACCCTCCTTGCCACTTTTAAAAATGTTTTAGCTAGCAGTCTGAACACAAAGCTTCTGAGCCTTTTGTGTTAATATATTAATGCTCTTATGCTTTGCTGTCAGTGCTTGCTGGTGTCCACTGGCTCTTCCATGGCTGCTAGGGAGTCATAGGGATGTACCTCCTCCTGTTCAGACTCTCCAGTCTCCACTTCTGTCTCTCATCACTCCAAATGTTCTGCACGCTTCTGTAGCCCTACACCTTGTGCTGGGCATGCATACATACTCATAAGTCCAGTCCAGTTCTTTTCTTCCTCTGCATTCCCTTCCCACCACATAGTAGGGATGGGAAGGGGACTTCAAAGCTACACACAAAGCACAGTCGTCTTCTTTTTAATGTTTTTAAATGTGCTTTTGCCCAGCTGGAGATTCAAGTCCTGCACCTGGAGGGGTCTAGGCAAACCTGGAAATTTCAGGTCAGACCTGAAGATCTGGCAGCTGTACACCTCCATGCTTGAGGAGCCTAGACTAATCAGAACCGACATCATGCACAACAGCTTTAAAACTGAGACTTTGGGGTCAGTCTTCCGCAGCTCTATTTCCCAATTCAAAAGATATGCAATGCCTAAGTTTGCTCCTAGTAAGTGACAAAGAGGTTTAAGCAAACAAAGCAGCAAGTAAAACTGCTTTCCAGGTGTTGCTTGCTTCCAGAATAAATATTGCTCATTTAAAATGCAGTCTGGTAACTGCTCAAACCCTAGAAATATTGACCAAGAAGCAGTTTAGCTAACTGCAGGCTGTATTGTGACATGTGGAAGGACCTGGATGACAAGGGAGGTTCAGGGGTTGCTAAAGGCAAGAAACACTGCTTTCAGAAGTGGAAATAAGTCGCTGTACAGCTTAGCTAGAGCGGATTTAAAGAGAGGTATCCGTGTAGCAAAGGAGGCGTATAGACAGCGGCTGGAGAATCATCTACAAAGTAACAACACCAGGCAGGTGTGGCAAGGTGTACAAGAATTAACAGGGTATAAATCCAAGGATTCCCTGGCGGACGAGGGAGGGGCATCCCTCGCAGAGGATTTGAATGCCTTTTTTGCCCGTTTTGAAGTAATATCTGCAGCAACACCTGCTGAGGCTTTACCACCACCACCACCACTCCCTGTGAAAGCCTTGCCACCATCACCACCATCACCATCATCAGTACAAAGGAATGTAGTAGTCTCTGTGGAAAAAGAAGAGATGAGGAAGGTGTTGAAGGGAATCAACCCAAGGAAGGCCACAGGGCCAGATGGGGTAGCTGGAAGGGTATTGAGAGACTGTGCAGATCAACTAGCAGGAGTTTTCACTGGGATCTTAAATCGATCCCTAGCCCAGGCTATTGTTCCATCCTGCCTAAAGTCCTCTACTATCGTTCCAATAGCAAAAAAATCTAACCCGGAAGATCTGAATGACTTTCGTCCAGTAGCACTCACACCTATAATCATGAAGTGCTTTGAAAAGCTGGTACGAAATTATGTCATTGCCTGCCTACCAGAGGGACTGGACACATTCCAATTTGCTTATAAAACGAAAAGATCGACAGAGGACGCTGTGGCGATTGCCCTCCATGCCGTTCTTGCACATTTGGAGCAGCGGGGGGGGGGTTATGCCAGACTGCTTTTTTTAGATTTCAGCTCGGCATTTAATACCATTCTACCACAACGTCTGATGTCTAAACTGGAAGATCTGGGGCTTCCGTTATCACTTTGTGGGTGGATATTGGACTTTTTGTCAGACCGCCCCCAGAGGGTTCGGTTGGGCCCTTATACCTCTAGTATGCTTAGGACTAACACAGGAACACCACAGGGATGCGTACTCAGCCCACTCCTTTATATTCTCTACACGTACGATTGTGTCGCTGCTCACCCTAGTAATAGGGTTGTCAAATTTGCAGATGACACAACCGTGATTGGGCTCATCTCTGAAAGGGAGGGTGAAATGGACTATAGAGATGAGGTGGAGCGGCTGACAGAGTGGTGCAGAGCTAACAACTTGCTCATAAATACAAGGAAGACAAAGGAGCTTGTGGTGGACTTCAGGAGACAGAAGAGCAATGTCCAGCCACTTTTGCTTGATGGGGTCTGTGTGGAGAGGGTAACAACGTTCAGATTTTTGGGCATTGAATTACAAGAGGATCTGTCCTGGAGTGTCAACACAAGGGGGCTTGTGAAGAAGGCGCAGCAGAGACTGTACTTTTTGAGAATTCTAAGGAAAAACCATCTTCCGCAGAAACTGCTGCTTGCCTTCTATCACTGTGCCATTGAGAGCGTGCTCACCTATGGCTTATGTGTGTGGTATGGAAGCTGTACTACCCGGGACAGGTTGGGGTTGTGCAGAGTTGTTAAGGCAGCAGAGAGCATTGTTGGCTGCCCACTCTCCACCTTAGAGCAGATTTATGCCACAAGGTGCCATAGGAAGGCACTGGACATAGTAAAAGATCCATCGCATCCTGGTCACTGTCTCTTCGAGCTCCTGCCGTCGGGACGGAGATACAGGACGATGAAGACAAGAACAAGCCGTCTTAAGAACAGCTTCTTCTCCAGAGCGATCTCGGCCCTGAATGGGAAGCCTGGACTTTGAAAGTCATCTAATCTTCCTTGCTGTTTTATACTGTATTGTTTTAATTAGTGTTTTTATAGTTGATTTGATTTTGTGTGGAGTGCCCTACCTGGGTGGATGGAGCAGCCAAGTAATCTCGTTGTCCCCGAGAGGGGGCAATGACAATAAAGATATTATTATTATTACTACAGCAGATGAATCTGTTGGGCACCCCAGTACTTTCTGTCCAAGGCAGAACACTTTAGAAGCTAAATCATGTTTTTGTTTGTTTGTTTTTTGTTTTTTTACATAGCAGAACGAAGTTGGAACTAAATGTGTCTAAACTTGTGCAAAGGTACTATTGGGTTCATAAAGCTCACGTCTTTGTGGGATTAGGCTCCTAAGGAAAAACTGAATAGTCTGTGGGAAGCCTCTAGAGAGCCTGGAAAACTAATTAGATCATACTTCAAGGTGTTTTTTGTTTGCTACAAGCCAGACACAAATTAGTCCCCAGTGTATACTTAATATCCATAACCCCATTTTCTGAGCTGATCCATTCTTAAAATTACTAGTCAAACCTTGATCATTATGTTATTTCCTCCCTTCTTGATGCTAATGTGAAATGTTTGTGTAAACCAAGAGAAGCAGAAAAAGAGCTTTCTTATTCTGCAGTTAATACATTTTGGTAACTTATTTCTTCACCAAATCCATAAAACCCATGCTAGTTTTCTTGGCTGATCTTTGCCCTTGGAATATTTCAGATGAATGCCAAAGTTGCATTTTCTGGTTCAGGCTTGGATATCCCTAGAATTACCATTTCACTTTAAAGTGAAAGAACTCCACATCAATGCAAAAAGTATGTGGTGCTAATTGGCATGATGGATGAACTACTTTCTTCTTGCTGATGCTGTAGAGTTTTCTGAGATGGAAACTTATTTGCTGCTGCTACTGCAACAAATTTGCCAATTTAGGAATTCAGACAAGTGGCTTGTATTATGAAGTAATTCACAAAGCCAAAGCAGATGAAAATGAATAGGCTCTATCGCTCCAAGATTCTCGAAGTATAATAAAAATAAATAAATCATGTTTGACAGAATGGTTATTCTAGAAACAATTCTGCAGCTCCAACACACACAAACGTGCACACACACATTGTTTGATAAAGTCCATTCCACTGGTCATCAGAAAATGTGGGGACTATGATGAAAATTGAACATTTGGGGTTTTTCTCCTCCTGTTTATAAACCAAACTAAATTCTATATCTCTTCATTTTAAGGTAACTGAGCTGCACAACATCAAAAACATAACCAGACTGCCTCGAGAGACAAAGAAGCATGCAGTGGCAATTATCTTTCATGATGAGACATCAAAGACATTTGCCTGTGAGTCAGGTAAGCAATTATTACCACATCTTCAGCCTGAGTAAATTAAGCTGCTTATGAAACAATGCTTCAGATGGATTAAGATACAGCATTTAAACAGGGTGCCTTATCTTAATGAGAATATGCCATAATATCTTTTTTTTAGCATACAGAGATAAATGTGTCCCTCCCCCTTTTTTAAAAAAAGACTAGTTTGGGTGCTTGTTTCTTATTTTTCTCTGTCTGGACTTGGCCCCTAGTTGGATACAAGACTCTTGAGGCTTTCATCTAAAATTCTAGAGCTGAGTAAACAATGCCAATGGGATGCTATTAAGACAAGCGTTGACGTGAATTATCAGGGGTTGTTGTTGTTTTGCCAAGTATTGCTATAGGCACTTACTAGGTTAGTAATAATCCTGTCACTATAAGAGAGTAGCAAAGAACAGCTAAAATTCCAGGACATGGAGAAGTTCAGCTTCAAATAGTTTATGGCTAGCTGTTCAGACCAAAGTTTTGATAGATCTACAGTACTCTGTACATTTTATGAAACAAATCATTACCATTTGCCAGTCATCCTGTCTTACAAGATTCAGTATTCTGGAAAAAATAAATTATGTTCTCTGTATGTGAATTCAATATTAGTATTAATTTCTCCCCCTTCACAACCATTATGCTGGCCTGAGTCATGCGAAACCAAACCATGGGTGATGATGATAATGATTTACATTTCTATACTGTACCGCCCTTCTTCTGAGGATCACAGGGTGGTTTACAATATAAAAATACAAACATGCATAACAAGCAAAAATAATACCTCCCCTGCACACAAGCAGTTTAAAATGCCATGGCTTGTTTAATTACCCAAAGGCCTAATTAAAGAGAGGAAAGAGGAAAAAGAGGAATGTGGTTGCCTGGCAGCTAATGATATGCAATGAAGGTGCCAGGTGAGCTTCTCTGGGGAGAGCATTCCACAAGTAGGAAGCCACCGTTCTCATGTTGCTGCCCTCTGAACCTGTTGGAGATGTGCCACATGAAGAATAGCCTCTGATAATGATTACAGGGTCTAGGTTGGTTCATATGGAGAGATGCAGTCCTTGAGGTGTTGTGGTCCTGATAAACTAATGAAGAGAGTCCATGCCCTGAATGACATATCAAATACAGATGATTTTGTTGACATTTGGAACCCCTTTATAAAATAACCAAATGAACATCCTGATGACTGGCACTCACCTAATACTGGTATAGATTTATGGGAAAATTTGATGCATTGGTCTTCTGTTTTGGGGAAAATTAATAAAATGTTTATAAAAACTGTTGCGGTCCTGAGCCATTTAAGGCTCTGTAGGTCAAAACATCCCTTTGTATTGGTCCCAGAAACTAGTTGGCAGTCAGTTCAGTCGAAAAGGGATCTGTGTAATATACTCAAACCATCTTGCCCTGGTGAGCAACCTGGCTGCTGAATTCTGCACCAGCTGAAGTTTCCATACCATCTTCAGAGGCAGCCCCATGTATAACGTGTTGGAGTAATCTAACCTAGAGGTTACCAGAGCATAGATGACAGAAGTCAGGCTATCCCTCTTCAGATAGGGGTGTAGCTGGGCCACCACCCAAAGCTGATTGAAGGCTCTCCACACTTTGGAGCGTGAATGTGTGGACATGTCAAAAGATTGCAGCCACTTTGTTCCTCCCTGGTTGTTCTGCTGCTGCACTGTGATGAGCCAAACCATGGTTAAGACAAACCATGGTTTGGCTCATCACAATGCATGTTGCCTGAATTGAGGCTTGTGGTTTATCTCTCCTTGACTAACCACAAGCTGTAATGAAGGTTTGTTCTATAGTTTATGGTTTAGGGTAAAACAAGATTTTTCACTGTTTGAACACACATTTGGAAGTGTGTGTGGAGTCAATCAGGGCACAAGTGTGTGTGGAGTCAATCCACAACACCTTTGGTTTTATTACTAAAAAGAAAGAAATGATGTCAGGATTGGAATTCTGGTGTGAAATTGCTGCATTGTTATTTGCTAAAGAAAGGGGAGTCTCTGCCCTTTCTTAGGTACTTAAGTTAAAAGCATCATATATTTGTGAAAGCCAAAATGCTGCTTTTGAGGTTTAAGAATACGTAGAACAAAAATGAAAATACCAAAGCGCAACTGGAAGCAAAGGAAAAACAAAACAAAACAATAGGGTAAACAAGAAAGGTCTGGGACGCGGGTGGCACTGTGGGTTAAACCAGAGAGCCTAGGACTTGCCGATCAGAAGGTCGGTGGTTCGAATCCCCGCAACAGGGTAAGCTCCCGTTGCTCGGTCCCAGCTCCTGCCAACCTAGCAGTTTGAAAGCACGTCAATGTGCAAGTAGATAAATAGGTACCGCTCCAGCAGGAAGGTAAACGGGATTTCCATGTGCGGCTCTGGTTCACCAGAAGTGGCTTAGTCATGCTGTACGCTGGCTCCCTTGGCCAATAAAGCGAGATGAGCGCTGCAACCCCAGAGTCGGCCACGACTGAACCTAATGGTCAGGGGTCCCTTTACCTTTACCTAAACAAGAAAGAGATTTAATGATCCAAAGCATGATTATGCTAAGAAACAGAAGAGGTACCATATCAGAATTGTGAATGGTTGTTCTGGTTTTCCCTCAAGAAGGATTAGTAGAATCTCTAATCTATTGCATCAGTAAATATCCTTCTTGTCTACCCCAATGTGTGTTGTTGTTGTTGTTGTTGTTGTTGTTTATTTGTTAATGGATTTGTGGACAAGGATCTTGGGGGGGGGGTTGGTTTGTTGCTGTTGTTTTTCAATGTAGCTTTTCTTAGCAATTTCCCGGCCAGTGGCTTAACAGCTTTTGTTGTTCCATCCAGGTCCCAGTAAATGTTAGTTTCACACATTGTCCCTTCACCATGTGCCTGATCAGACAATAAATATGCAATGTTTTAGAAGCACAACACTATCATAATTTTATGTCAAACTTGGTAGATTTGGGTGACAAATACTGCTTCCTCATACATCTTCCCTTGAATTGCACAAGCTGTTCGTCAACTACATTCTCATGTGTCATGAAACAATGTGTCCACAGGTAAGCAAGCTGCTCTGTCACAGAGCTTGACCCCTAAAGTGCAAGAATTTTTTATTAGATTAAAGGGATGGAGCTAAACAGCCTTCCTCATAGCTGATGACTCTTTGGAACATGCAGCTGTGGGAGACTGATACAAAAGGCTTGTTTTTTTATTCCCTTGAAGTTTGTATTCAAAAGTTTTAAAAAGTTTTCTTAAAAATAATAATAATGGACGTGGAAACTTGCTTCATATAGCTGGCTTCCCCCTCTTTTTGTGCATGGAAGTGCGTATTTAATGTGGCCTTTGTTATCAAAACAATTTGAAATATTTTTCTTCATACCCATTGTTATCCTGCAATAAAAGAAAGCAAACATTTCCTGAACAGATCTTGTGCTGCCTTTCTAGCAATTTAGCTATAAGAAGCAATGTACTTTTCAGCTCTTGCTTCTCTGCTTTGCTGCTTTCTCTGAGAAAACGCAGATGACTCTGAGAGAAGCAGATGACAGATCGCTTCGCAAAGCCAAAGCAATTCCTAGGGATATAAATGGCTAGGGAAGGAAGCCATCTAAGAAGCAAAAATGGTATTGTCAAAGTGCTCCCAGTGGGTTAGATTGTGCTAGGTCCCATGTGGTAACCAGTATTTCAAAGTGCAACAGCAAATAGAGTAATTTTTCACAGATATGTATCCCTGTTCACAGATGAGCTAAGTCCACGGACTCCCAAGAGAAAATTACCCAGGCACTATGTTATTGCAAGACTTCCAACTCCCATTTCATTTTAAATCCTTTTAGTGTTGTTCCAGGTTGGACAGGGTGACCTTCTAAAACCTCCTTCCCTATGGCTCCCTTTTCTATGTTTCCTCAGTAGTGTATGAAAAGACTAATGCTTAGATCACGAGTGGTTCCATAGCACCACTGTATCTGTATCCTGACAATTGACTTTAATGTGGAAAACCCATGTGATTTGAACATTTTTTTTGGCACATTACTTATAGAAGTGTTTGTGTAAAGGTAAAGGGACCCCTGACCGTTAGGTCCAGTCACGGACAACTCTGGGGTTGCGGCGCTCATCTCGCTTTACTGGCCGAGGGAGCCGGCATAGAGCTTCCGGGTCATGTTGCCAGCATGACTAAGCCACTTCTGGCGAACCAGAGCAGTGCACAGAAACGCTGTTTACCTTCCTGCCAGAGCGGTACCTATTTATCTACCTGCACTTCGTGCTTTCGAACTGCTAGGTTGGCAGGAGCTGGGACAGAGCAACGGGAGATTCGAACCATCAACCTTCTGATCGGCAAGTCCTAGGCTCTGTGGTTTAACCCACATTTTTTGCACATTACATATAGAAGTGTTTGTGTAGCAGCTATCAAAACTCAAAGGTAATGTGAATGTTGGACATACATGCTTTCATGGAGAATGAAGATGTCAGTGACTACTAACCCTGTTAGCTGTGTTCTACCTTCACTGTTGGATGTAGTATGCTTCCGAATACCAGTTGCTGGAAACAACAGGAGAGGGTATTGTCTCACTGGCTGGCCACTGTAACCTAGATAGGCTACTGACCTGATCCAGAGGGCTCTTATGTTCTTGTGGACTTGTGAGAATTCCAAACATACTTACAGTACTTACTTATAAACCACACTTTAGCTAAAAATGTTCCCAGAGTGGCTTACAATAATAAGTAGAAAGATAGCCCTGCCATCTGCTTTCCTGCATGATATTACAAGGCAGGCATAGAAAACTTGCTTCATTCTTTGATTCATTCTTTCAATTTATGCCCTGGTTATGATGGAACTGTGTGTACTGTGCATTCTTGGGGCTGTTGATCAGACCTAGACCAGTTTGCATGTGTGTTCACATATAGGGCACATTGGTACTTTCGACATCTTTCAGAATATTTTGCAGAAATCTAGAACCTACGTCATAGCCGATTAAGTAAAGCACCATGATGATGACATAATCTTTCACAATATTTTCTGCATCT